TTTTCTATGGGGGGTTCTTTTGCTTGGCTTAGTGTCTAGGACAAGGGATTGAAAATTTAGGGTAGGGTTTCTATAGTTGGGTATTTTATATGGAGGTGGGAAGGGATGATGGCTATTGGATTAGAAGGAAATAGATGGCTAGGATTAAATCTTGCACTTAAGTGGGCTAATGGGTTGGGAAGAATGGGCTAAGGGTAATTGGGTTGGACCATGTCTTTTGGGTTTGAACTTAGGCTAAAAAGACCCAATAATACAACGTATCTATAAAAATGTAAAAATCACTCTAAATTAAAATAAACTAATATAAAACAAAATACTACGAGTGAAACTAATTTTTTTTGTATTTTCAAATGTTATAATACTATAGATATAAATATACCAATTGACTTTAACCTAAAGATAAAAAATATTTTTTTTGTAATTTTTTTAAATTTTTTATTTTTTGTGATAAAAATAAAGTAAAAGAGTCAACACTATTTAGAATAGCGATACTATACCTAAATTAAATATTTACGCTAAAATGTGTAAAATTTTAGGGAGGGTCAAAAATTACATGTCTACATCTGGTGCAAAAGGTTGCACGGGAAAATCGTATATGTCGGACGTGTTAGTCATTCGATTGTTAGAGATTGAAAACAAGTATGGAGATTTTGGTACTATCGCCAATGGGAGAGGTTATGACTAAGAGGCGCTCTATTCCTTTGGTTGTGGACTATGGGAGTTTGTTCCGAATTTGACGGCTACTCTTATGTGTCATGAATAGGTTCATTGTGGATCCTTGAAAGGTTACTGGCCCAGTATGGGATGATCGGAATCGGCTTGAGGTCTGCTATTAGAACTAATGTGAATTGTATGCTCTACATCAGGTCACATGTGTTCATTCAGCATAGCACTGCTTATGGAGGAGTCTTCGGGTGTTGGATGTTATTCATGTCGTCAGCTATTCTTTGTAATACTCTAATATGACATGTGGGTTGTGAGACGGATTGATTGTTCGCACGCGTGTTGTGGTTTTGTGTAGCTTGTCGTTATTGCGCCTTAGTCGAGCTCGAGTTTTGTAGCGCATGGCGCTATCCGTCTCCCTAGGGTTGTATTTTTGCACTTGGCGTGCTTGTGGTCGATATTCTGGTATTTCCTAGGTATAAGCATTATGGATTGATGGGTATTTCCTTATTTATTGATATGTGTGGATCGGGTGGCATGCCGCCACGGGTATGTTGTTTGGATCGGGTTGTACGCCGCAACGGTGTCATGTTTGGATCGGGTTGCATGCCGCAACGGTGTCATGTGTGGATCAGGTTGCTCACTGCAATAATGAGATGTTGAGTGCGGTTCCTTGTACTTAATTGTGTGCCTTGTTTCTCATCTCTGAGATAGGTTCATAGCACCCGTTCGGCTACTTTATTCGTTATGTGGACCGGATGGTTCTTTGCTAGAGTCCGTTCTTCCTTATGGGTCACATTCGAGTTTGTAGCTTGTTGGTGCATTGATGGTGTCGTATAAGATTTTTGGCGGTGTTTGAGGTGGCTTATTTCCTGAGCAGCTTCTACTGGGTGAGACGAGATTATTGGACCTGAAATCAGTGCAATCGAATTTATATAAGGTATATTAGAGGAAAAATATCACTATTCAGTTCAGAATGAGGCAATAGTTCTTGTTGAGCGGAGGACTCCATGATTTATTGATTTGGCAAGTAGTTATGAGCTTCTACGCATCGTTTTCATTGTTGCAGTATCGCGAGGGTTGGATCAGGGCTTATGCGCATATAAGATATAGACGTAATGGCTTCCTGGACATGTAAACTTGTATCGGTTTGTAAAGCCGATACATGAACTTATATTTTTCCCATTAGAACACTTCAACTTGACGGAAAGAATACTAATAAACACATTTGACCATTGACCAAGCCTATGTGGAAGTGACACAGCTGACGTGGCTAAATTGTGTGCAAATCATGCTGCCAAGACGCGTAAATAGTTTTATTTTTATTAAAAAAAATATTAGAAATAGAATAAAATATAAATAAGAAAGAAAAAAAAAAAGAAAAGAAAAAAAGACCTTTATCTCTCCCCTTCTCTTTTCCCCTTCCCTCCCACCTCTCTCATCTTCCCAAGCAACTCCCCCATCCTGTAAATTTTTTTCATCTTCTATCCTACTTTCCCTCCCCTTCCCCGTTTCTTTTTCCCTTTCTCTTCCCCATTCACTAAGTGACTCCTACACAAGGATGGCAAGCACGAATGTAAAAATAATCCAAATTGTTATGCGTTGATTTACTGGAAAAAGAAATGCAAGACCGGATATCCGATTCATCATCATCATCATCATCTGGTTCTTCTTGGTCGTCATTGAGCTTTTCCAGATCGGACTGGAGCTGTTTTGGGGAAATCTAGGGTTTGCAGGTGGGGCTTAGCGAAGAAGCCATCAATATGAGGAGGGTGGGGTTTGGAATCAAAGTCGAGTAGTTCTCGGGAGGGACTATCCCTGTCCCATTCCCTTTTGTGAATCTCGTCGTTGGTTAAACACCCGAGAAAACTCAAATTGGAGGAGGGCACCGTCGCCGTCGCCGTCGAAGTTAGAGAGCCGATGACCTTGTCCACCCGTACTCAGAAGCTGTCATCCATTGCTACCTTGTGAATAGTGTGCATATAACACAGGCTATATACGAAGGCTGTCGACGCAGAAAAAGCAGCACGCTATATTGTTACTTGGACGAAGCTTTCATATATGAGGAAGAAGATGATGGTGGTTGAAAATGGCTGAGGTTTGGAGTTGTTGGTGGACGATTGGTTGTGTATGGTGGAATAAAAAGAGAAAGAAAAAGAAATTAAAAAGTTTAAAGATTAATTTTTTTTCTAATAATATTGGACCCTCAAATCCACATGTCATTTAATAAAGACCAAACACGTGACATTGCATTCATGTCAACGATTGGCGAACACGTTCAACAGAAAGTGTTTACTAGTATTCATTCCGTCAGGTTGAAGTGAAATATAAGTTCATGTATCGGCTTTACAAACCGATACAAGTTTAAGTGGCCAGGAAGCCATTTCGCCTAAGATATACTACGGGCGTCAGGTTAGTGAATTTTGCAGCTTCTACAGTTAGATAATGTTATTATGGGCAAATGAATTATGTGGTGCATTGTGTGCTTTCAGCATGGGTGTATGATCATGTTTGGAACAACGGGTTGAGATTGATATGGTGTTCGTATGTTAGAATCAGGTCTCGTAGAGATTTCCGGATGTCGGAATTTGGTCTCTGTCACGACCCAACCCCCGGTCGTGATGGCGCCCAACACATTGCTAGGCAAGCCCGACCTTTCGACAATAATCCCAACTCTTAATGATTCATAAATTCAAAACGCAGATATTAATTACTAAGCCATTTTATCAAAAGTCTAGAAATACTGAGTAATATACGAAAGTCTAACAAAGTACTGAAACATAAACCCAAACAGGATCCGGTGTTACGAACACGAGCCTCTAATACAGAGTGTCATCCTATAACAAGACTGTCTAAGAAACAGAATAATGAAAGATAGGGATAGGAGGGAAGGATCAAGGCTGCGAACGCCATGCAGCTACCTCGATGCTCCCGGTGAAATGCTGCTCAACTAGACAGGTCCTCCCTCAGACTGTGATGCACCTAAATATGCACTCAAGGTGCAGGGAGTAAAGTGAGTACTCCGACTCAGTGACTAATAAGCATAAATAATAACTGAAGATAAGAAATCACTGAAAAACACAAGGCAACTATAACGGGCAGTACCAAACCTTTAACAGTAAGACCGGCAAGTCAATAAAGTAATAGTACAGAAAGAACCATGACAGGTAACAGGTAAGGAATGATGCAATGCAATGCAAATACCGGTACACTCAGGTACCCACTGCGGCGTGCAGTCCGAGCCAACCATATTTTACGTCGACGGCGCTCACTGGGGGTATGTACAGACTCCGGAGGGGCTCCTACAGCCCAAGCACATATAAGCCATCTTGTGGCACCAACCAGGCCCTCGGCCTCAATATCACATAGTACTGCTGCGGCGTGCAGCCCGAGCCATCCATAAATCCAGAAATCACAACAAGCCCCTCGGGCATTTTTAAATCAGTAATCCACAGCCCAAAATATCATTTAAAATATCATTTGAATTTTCAAGTTTAGAAAAAGGGGCTGAGTTTGCAAAAATAGTACTTAAAACCTTGGAATGAGGCTAAATAATGTGCAAAGTATGCAAATCAGTGAAATCAATCCCTGAAGGATCCAAATAACCGGCACGAAGCCCAAATACAACAGTCAAATCCAAGTAACGATGATTTTCAACAAGTTCTAGTAGAAAAACACAGTAAAACATCACCGGGACGGACCAAGTAACAATCCCCAATAACCAACAGCCCCGCACTCGTCATAGAGCGCGTGCCTCGCCTCAATATAGTGGTACGATGTGGAATTCCGGGGTCTCAAACCCTCAGTACATCATTTACACCCATTACTCACCTCAAGTCGGCCCAAAGTCTAGCTCGTTATGCCTTTTCCTCTCGAATTGACCTCCTCGCGCGTCAAATCTGATCAAAACCACAAGGAATACATTACAATAGGCTAAGGGAATATAACCCAATCGAAAAGACTCGAAAAACGCCAAAAATCACGAAGTTGGCAAAACCCGAGCCCCGGGCCCACTTCTCGAAAAATTATAAAATTTACATCATCGGATTCCTCGTCTCGCCACTAGTCCATGCATATCAAATTTATTAAAATCGGAGTCCATTTGACCTTCCAAATTCCATTTTTAACTTATAATTTCTCAAGCCCTAACTACCCCATTTTTGATGAATTTCCACTAATTTCCATGTTAAATCCACCATAAACTCGAATAATTAGGCCAAGGGACTTACCTCTAATCGATTCCCAGTCGAAACTCTCAAAAATCCTCGCCCCAAAGCTCTCAAGGTCGCTCAACAATGGTGGAAAATACCCCAAGCTCGCGGATGAAATATGATATTTTAACCCTTCTGTCCAGTCGACTTTCGCTTCTGCGGTCCCGCTTCGGCTTTTGCAGTACCGCTTCTGCGGCCAAATTCCCGCTTTTGCGGATTCTCATTAAAAATTCCCATTTCGCTTTTGCGGCTAAAACTCCGCTTCTGCGGAGCTCCCTCCTATGACCAAAACCGCTTCTGCGGTTAACCGTCCGCTTCTGCGGACCCGCTGATGCGATTATCGTTCCGCTTCTACGGAACTACCCTACCATACCACGGACCGCTTTTGCGACCTTTCACCCGCTTCTGCGGTCCATTTCCGCAGAAGCGAAAATACCAGATACCAGCAATGTGAACCTGCAACAAATTCTAAAAACTTCCCGTTTAACCACCCGAACTCACCCCGAGGCCCCCGGGACCTCAACCAAAAGCACAGACATGATCCAATACCCTATTCAAACTTGTTCCAATCTTAAAAACACATGCAACAACACAAAAATCCTCATTTCCCATCAATTTCAAGCCTAAGTTCCTCAAATTCTTCCGAAACTCACATTCAATCAAAAACCCAACCAAATCACCTCCGAATCACCTGAAATTTTGCACGCATATCCAAAATCACCTAACGAAGCTGCTGCAACTCTCGGAATTCCATTCCGAGCCTCAGATCAAAAACTCACCTACCAACCGGAACTCGCCAAAATACTAACTTCGCCAATTCAAGCCTAATTCTACACCGGACCTCCAAAATCACTTCCGATAACACTCCTAAGTCACAAATCATCCCCCGAAGCTAACAGAATCACCGGAGATCACATCCGAGCCCTCTAACTCATTAGTCAACATCCGGTTGATTTTTCCAATATAATCCTTCCTTAAAGAGACTAAATGTCTCATTTTCTACCAAAACCAACCCAATTCGACTCTAACTCACCGTGCCGATTATGGAACATGAAGAAGCAATAAACGGGGAAAACGGGGCGGTAACACATGAGACGACGGGTCGGGTCGTCACATCCTCCCCAACTTAAACAAACGCTCGTCCTCGAGCGGGTCAAGGAACATACCTGAAGTCTCAAGTAGGTGAGGATATCTGCTCCGCATCTCCTGCTCGGTCTCCCAGGTAGCCTCCCCCACGGGCCGACCTCTCCACTGCACCTTCACCGAAGCTATATCCTTTGATCTCAACTTTCGAACCTGACGACCCAAAATAGCCACTGGCTCCACATCATAGGTCAAGTCATCATCCAACTGAACCGTGCTGAAGTCTAACACATGAGACGGGTCCCCAACATACTTCCGGAGCATAGAAACATGGAATACCGGATGAACCCCCGACAAGCTGGGTGGCAAAGCAAGCATATAGGCCACCTCCCCAATCCTCCTAAGTACCTCAAAAGGCCCAATGAACTGCGGACTCAACTTCCCTTTCTTTCCAAACCTCATAACGCCCTTCATGGGCGAAACCTTCAAGACCTTCTCGCCCACCATATAGGATACGTCTCGAACCTTCCGGTCCGTATAACTCTTCTGACGCGACTGAGTTGTACGAAGTCTCTCCTGGATCACTTTCACCTTCTCTAAGGCATCCTGGACCAACTCTGTCCCCAATAGCCTAGCCTCGCCGGGCTCAAACCAACCAACCGGAGATCTACACCGTCTCCCATATAAGGCCTCATACGGCGCCATCTAAATACTGGATTGATAGCTGTTGTTGTAAGCAAACTCTGCAAGTGGAAAGAACTCAGCCCAAGAACCTCCAAAATCAATAACACGGGCACGCAACATGTCCTCCAATATCTGAATGGTACGCTCGGACTGCCCGTCCGTCTGAGGATGAAATGCTGTGCTCAGCTCCACCTGTGTACCCAACTCCCGCTGAAAAGTCCTCCAAAACTGGGAAGTAAACTGAGTACCTCTATCTGAGATAATGGAAACTGGGACCCCATGCAACAGAACAATCTCCCGGATGAAAATCCCTGCCAGCCGCTCCGAAGAATAGGTAGTACACACCGGAATGAAGTGCGCAGACTTGGTCAACCGATCCACAATCACCCAAATCGAATCAAACTTCCTCGAGGTACGAGGGAGACCACTCACAAAATCCATAGTAATCCTCTCCCATTTCCACTCCGGAATATCCATCCGCTGAAGTACACCACCGGGCCTCTGATGCTCATATTTTCCCTACTGACAGTTGAAACACCGAGCTACATAACTCACAATATCTTTCTTCATTCTCCTCCACCAGTAGTGTTGTCTCAAATCCTGATACATCTTCGCAGCACCCGGATGAATGGAATACCGCGAGCTGTGGGCCTCCTCTAATATCAACTCCCGAAGCCCATCCACATTGGGAAATACGGCCCTGCATCCTCAACACGTCATCATCATCAATAGTCACATCTCTGGCATCATCATGCTGGACCCTGTCCTTAAGGACAAGCAAATGCGGATCATCATACTGGCGCTCTCTAATGCGGTCATACAAGGAGGACCGAGAATCCACACAAGCCAACACCCCCACTAGGCTCCGAAATATCTAACCTCACCATCCGATTGGCCAAAGCCTGGACATCAACCGCAAAAGGCCTCTCCCCAGCTGGAATGTATGCCAAACTACCCATACTCACCGCCTTCCGGCTCAAAGCATCAGCCACTAGGCCTTCCCCGGATGATACAGAATGGCAATATCATAGTCATTGAGTAACTCAAGCCACCTCCGCTGCCTCAAATTAAGATCCTTCTGCTTGAACAAATGCTGAAGACTGCGATGATCAGTGAATACCTCATAAGATACGCCATATAAATAGTGCCTCAAATCATGAACTATAGCAGCCAACTCCAAATCATGTACAGGGTAGTTCTTCTCATGGGGCTTCAACTGACGAGAAGCATATGCAATAACTCTACCCTCCTGCATCAACACACATCCGATCCCCACTCTCGAAGCATCACAATATACAGTGTAAGAACCTGAAGCTGATGGCAATACCAATACTGGAGTTGTGATCAAAGTTGTCTTGAGCTTCTGAAAGCTCTCCTCGCACTCGTCCGACCATACAAATGGTGCACCCTTCTGCGTCAACTTGGTCAAGGGCGAAGCAATAGATGAAAAACCCTGGATGAACCGGCGATAATAACCCGCCAAACCGAGGAAACTTCGAATCTCTGTGGCTGAGGACGGTCTAGGCCAACTCTGCACCGCCTCTATCTTCTTTGGATCAACCTGAATACCATCACTGGACACCACGTGCCCCAGGAAAGCCACAGAACCAAGCCAAAACTTACACTTGGAGAACTTTGCATAAAGCTTCTCCTCCCTCAATCTCTGTAGTACCACTCTCAAATGCTGTGCGTGCTCATCCTGGCTACGCGAGTACACCAGGATGTCATCAATAAAAACAATCACAAATGAATCGAGATACGGCCGAAATACACTGTTCATCAAGTGCATTAACGCGGCTGGGGCATTAGTCAGCCCGAAGGACATAACCAGAAACTCATAGTGCCCATATCTAGTCCGGAAAACGGTCTTCATAATATATAAATCCCTAATATTCAGCTGGTGATAGCCTGAACGGAGGTCAATCTTGGAGAATACCCTTCCCCCTGAAGCTGGTCAAACAAATCATCAATACGGGCAGGGGATACTTGTTCTTCACTGTCACCTTGTTCAATTGCTTGTAGTCAATGCACATTCTCATTGTGCCATCCTTTTTCTTCACAAACAAGATCGGTGCACCCCATGGTGACACACTCGGATGAATGAACCCCTTATCTAGGAGCTCCTGAAGCTGATCTTTTAGTTCTTTCAACTCTGCTGGTGCCATGCAATACGGAGGAATAGAAATGGGCTGAGTGCCCGGCACCAGATCAATACCAAAATCAATGTCCCTGTCCGGCGGCATGCCCGGCAGGTCTGCTGGAAACACATCAGGGAAGTCCCTCACAACGGGCACAGAATCAAGACTAGGAGTCTCAGCTCCGACACCTCTCACGAAAGCCAAGTACGATAGACAACCTTTCCCAACCATCCGCTGGGCCTTTAGAAAAGAAATCACCTTGCTGGGAACATAGTCAGTCATACCACGCCACTCAATCCTCGGAACACCCGGTATGGCCAATGTGACTGTCTTGGCATGACAGTCCAAAATAGCATGGCACGAAGATAGCCAATCCATACCCAGAATAACATCAAAATCTACCATGCTCAACAGCAACAAATCAACTCGGGTCTCCAGACCCCCAATAGTCACTAGACAAAACCGATACACATGGTCTACAACAATAGTATCACCCACCGGGGTAGATACATGCACAGGTAAAGCAAGACACCCACGGGTCGTACCCAAGTGATAAGCAAAATATGAAGACACATAGGAATAGGTAGAACCGGGATCAAATAGGACAGAGGCATCCCTGTGGCAGACTAAGATAATACCTCTGATAACAGCATCTGATGCAATGGCGTCCCTCCTTTCTGGGAGAGCATAGAATCGAGCCTGGCCACCACCAGATCGGTCTCCACCCCTAGGGCGGCCCCTGGCTGCCTGGCCCCAACCCCTACCTGACTGGGAGGGTGCTGAAGTAGATGGAGTAGAAGACGAGGACTGATCCCTCTGCTGAAACCGACCACCACGACGTCGAGGACAATCCCTCTTCATATGGCCAAACTCACCGCACTCGTCGCAACTGCCTGGTGCTGGAGAAGGGGACTGAAGGGAACCCCTCGCTGCAGAAGAACCCTGGGCTGAAGAGGCATGAGAAGAGCTCTGTGCGGGAAGGGCACTAAGTGAAGGCTGGCCCTGCTGAAATCCCTGATGACCACGACCTGAAGAAGCCCCACTATACTCAGGGCGAGCTGACAGAGGAGGCCTGAAGGAATGACCTCTACCACGCTGGAACTGGCCCCTAGATGGAGCACCACTAAAACTGCCTGAACCTCGAGGCCTCTTGGCCGCCCTCTCCTCACGCTCCCTACGGCAAACCGTCTCAATATCACGAGCAATATCAACTACCTCCTCGAACGAGGCACCCAAAACCCTCTCTCTGGTCATCAAAATGCGGAGTGAATAGTTGAGGCCATCCACGAACCTCCTAATCCTCTCTCGATCTGTCGGAATCATCCAAGTATCATGACGAGCTAGCTGTGAAAATCTCATCTCGTACTGGGTCACAGACATGTCCCCCTGAGTCAACCACTCAAACTGACGACGCAGCTCCTCCCTGCGAGACTGTGGTACGTACTTCTCCAGAAAGAGAGTGGAGAACTGCTGCCTTGTAAGGGGCGTTGCACCAACAGGCCTACGCCTCTCCAAATCCTCCCACCATGTAAATGCAGCCCTTGAGAACTGGAAAGTAGTAAAAGCCACTCCACTCGACTCCAACATCCCTGCGGTGCGAAGCATACGCTGACACTTGTCAAGAAAACCCTGGGCATCCTCGCCCTCAGCACCATTGAACACCGGAGGCTGGAGCCTACAGAACCTCTCAAGACGACGCTGCTCATCGTCTGGCATAGCTGGAACCACATAGTCTGGAGCTGGTGCAACTGGTGCAACTGGGGCAACTGGCGCAACTGGGGCAACTGGTGCAACTCTCGGTGTCTGCAATCCCTGAACAACCTGCTTAGGTGTGCGAGCACCGGGGGTCTGATGACCTCCCCCGGTCTGTGAGGTAGCTGCCGCAGTAGTGGCTGAGACTGCCTGAGCCAGGCCAGTGCAAACGGATAATATCTAAGCCAAAGCCTCCTGGAGGCCAGGAATCACAATAGGCACTGCCGGTGCCTGCACAGGTGCTGCTGGAGCATCTACAGCTGGAGGCTGGTCCTGAACCGGGGCAGCTGGTGGATATACAGGTGCTGCCCTCGCTGGTCTGCCTCAACCACGACCACGACCGCGTCCACAGCCTCTAGTGGGTGGTACTGGTGGTCGTCCGCCACGTCCGGTAGCACGGGTTCTCGCCATCTGCGAGAGAATAGAATACGGAAGTTTAGTTCTCGGACCAACAAAGTCGCACGACAGGAATTTCAAGAATATAAATTTTTTCCTAAAGGTTCTACAGCCTCTCGAGGATAAATACAGACGTCTCCGTATCGATCCGCGAGACTCTACTAAACCGGCTTATGATTCGCGGGACCAAGTAACCTAGGCTCTGATACCAACTTGTCACGACCCAACCCCCGGTCGTGATGGCGCCCAACACATTGCTAGGCAAGCCCGACCTTTCGACAATAATACCAACTCTTAATGATTCATAAATTCAAAACGCAGATATTAATTACTAAGCCATTTTATCAAAAGTCTAGAAATACTGAGTAATATACAAAAGTCTAACAAAGTACTGAAACATAAACCCAAACAGGATCTGGTGTCACGAACACGAGCCTCTAATACAGAGTGTCATCCTATAACAAGACTGTCTAAGAAACAAAATAATGAAAGATAGGTATAGGAGGGAAGGATCAAGGCTGCGAACGCCATGCAGCTACCTCGATGCTCCCGGTGATATGCTGCTCAGCTAGACAGGTCCTCCCTCAGATTGTGATGCACCTAAATCTGCACTCAAGGTGCAGGGAGTAGAGTGAGTACTCCGAATCAGTGAGTAATAAGCATAAATAATAACTGAAGATAAGAAATCAGTGAAAAACACAAGGCAACTATAACGGGCAGTACCAAACCTTTAACAGTAAGATCGGCAAGTCAATAAAGTAATAGTACAGAAAGAACCATGACAGGTAACAGGTAAGGAATGATGCAATGATGCAATGCAATACAAATACCGGTACACTCAGGTACCCACTGCGGCGTGCAGTCCGAGCCAACCATATATTTTACGTCGACGGCGCTCACTGTGGGTATGTACAGACTCCGGAGGGGCTCCTACAGCCCAAGCGCAAATAAGCCATCTCGTGGCGCCAACCAGGCCCTCGGCCTCAATATCACATAGTATTGCTGCGCCGTGCAGCCCGAGCCATCCATAAATCCAGAAATCACAACAAGCCCCTCGGGCACTTTTAAATCAGTAATCCACAACCCAAAATATCATTTAAAATATCATTTGAATTTTCAAGTTTAGAAAAAAGGGGTTGAGTTTGCAAAAATAGTACTTAAAACCTTGGAATGAGGCTAAATAATGTGCAAAGTATGCAAATTAGTGAAATCAAACCCTGAAGGATCCAAATAACCGGCACGAAGCCCAAATATAACAGTCAAATCCAAGTAAAGATGATTTTCAACAAGTTCTAGTAGAAAAACACAGTAAAACATCACCGAGACGGACCAAGTCACAATCCCCAATAACCAACAGCCCCGCACTCGTCATAGAAGCGTGCCTCGCCTCAATATAGCGGTACGATGTGGAATTCCGGGGTCTCAAACCCTCAGTACATCATTTACACCCATTACTCACCTCAAGCCGGCCCAAAGTCTAGCTCGCTATGCCTTTTCCTCTCGAATTGACCTCCTCGCGCGTCAAATCTGATCAAAACCACAAGGAATACATTACAATAGGCTAAGGGAATATAACCCAATCGAAAAGACTCGAAAAATGCCAAAAATCACGAAGTTGGCAAAACCCGAGCCCCGGGCCCACTTCTCGAAAAATTATAAAATTTATATCATCGGATTCCTCGTCTCGCCACGAGTCCATGCATATCAAATTTATTAAAATCGGAGTCCATTTGACCTTCCAAATTCTATTTTTAACTTATAATTTCTCAAGCCCTAACTTACCCCATTTTTGATGAATTTCCACTAATTTCCATGTTAAATCCACCATAAACTCGAATAATTAGGCCAAGGGACTTACCTCTAATCGATTCCCAGTCGAAACTCTCAAAAATCCTCGCCCCAAAGCTCTCAAGGTCGCTCAACAATGGTGGAAAATACCCCAAGCTCGCGGATGAAATATGATATTTTAACCCTTCTGCCCAATCGACTTTCACTTCTGCGGTCCCGCTTCCGCTTATGCGGGACCGCTTCTGCGGTCAAATTCCCGCTTTTGCGGATTCTCATTAAAAATTCCCATTCCGCTTTTGCGGCTAAAACTCCGCTTCTGCGGAGCTCCCTCCTATGACCAAAACTGCTTCTGCGGTTAACCGTCTGCTTCTGCGGACCCGCTGATGCGATTATCGTTCCGCTTCTGCGGAACTACCCTACCAGACCACGGACCGCTTTTGCGACCTTTCACCCGCTTCTGCGGAACCGCTTCTGCGGTCCGTTTCCGCAGAAGCGAAAATACCAGATACCAGCAATGTGAACCTGCAACAAATTCTAAAAACTTCCCGTTTAACCACCCGAACTCACCCCAAGGCCCCCGGGACCTCAACCAAAAGCACAAACATGATCCAATACCCTATTCAAACTTGTTCCAATCTTAAAAACACATCCAACAACACAAAAATCCTCATTTCCCATCAATTTCAAGCCTAAGTTCCTCAAATTCTTCCGAAACTCACATTCAATCAAAAACCCAACCAAATCACCTCCGAATCACCTGAAATTTTGCACGCATATCCAAAATCACCTAACGAAGCTGCTGCAACTCTCGGAATTCCATTCCGAGCCTCAGATCAAAATCTCACCTACCAACCGGAATTCGCCAAAATACTAACTTCGCCAATTCAAGCCTAATTCTACACCGGACCTCCAAAATCACTTCCGATCACATTCCTAAGTCACAAATCATTCCCCGAAGCTAACCGAATCACCAGAGATCACATCCGAGCCCTCTAACTCATTAGTCAACATCCGGTTGATTTTTCCAATATAAGCCTTCCTTAAAGAGACTAAATGTCTCATTTTCTACCAAAACCAATCCAATTCGACTCTAACTCACCAAATTCCGATAATGGAACATGAAGAAGCAATAAACGGGGAAAACGGGGCGGTAACACATGAGACGACGGGTCGGGTCGTCACAGTCTCAAGGCTTGTGGGCTAATGTAGCAGGAAGGATCTTTAGTCTGGCTCGAGCTAATGAATTCACATGAGTTGTGGTGGCACGGGTAGGTGTACGAGGTGATAAATGTGGTTTTGGGAAATTCCGGAGTGGTTCTTGGCACGTTCGAGGACAAAGTATGTTTAAGTGGGGGAGAATGTAACGACTCGACTAGTCGTTTTGAGCTCTAGCGTGTCGTTTGGAGGTTTGAGGCCTTGAGTAGCTTCACTTCATGTTTTATGACTTGTACGCGTAGTCGAAATCAAATTTTGGGAAGTTCGGAGTTGATTCAGATGGAAAATTCTCAATTCAGAAGCTTTAAGTTGGAAGAGTTAACCAAGGGTTGACTTTTTTGACTTTTCGAACGGAGTTGGGAATCATTATAAATTATTAAATTGTAAGCATTGGAGTATATTTTGATTGATTTGCATGTTTTTTGACTAGTTTCGAATCGTTTGGCTTTGAGTCGAGGAGTTAGAGAGGTATTGGAGTCGGTTATGGAACTTCGGAGCGAAGTAAGTCTCATGTCTAACCTTGTGAGGGGCAAATTACCCCGTAGGTGTTATTCTTGATATTCTACTTGTTGTGGGAGCTGCGCACGTATGAGGTGACAAGTGTCCGTGCGCATGCTAGAATTCCTGATTATATCCGGGTAGACTAGGATTCACGCCATGCTTTATTTGTACTAGTTGAGTTATTCTTGCCGGCTTAGTTACTTGATTTAGCATTACGGCCTAAGACTAGGCTTGCGTTGAGTGATGGACTCGCTATTGTAAGAGATTTGACGAGCTACTTGATTAGCCGCGGAATAATTGTGCTTCCGTTACGAATTTCTCTCACGTTGGGTGTTTTCATTGAAAAGCTTCTTTTAATTTCATAACTCACACGTATATTCATGAGTGGGGTCAAGGACTTGTTAAAGCTTCGTATTCTAATGGGATCGGGCCATCCGCCTTGGCAGGATTATGTACCACACTCTTATGGGATCGGGTCATTTGCCTCGGTTGGATATTGTAACACACTCTTATGAGATCGGGCGTTCGCCTTGGCAGTATCATATTCTTATGGGATCGGGCTGTTCGCCTCGACAGTATCATATTGTTATGGGATCGGGTTGTTCGCCTCGGTAGTATCATGTATCATATTCTTTGGGGATCGGGCCGTTCGGCTCGGCATTTCTATAAAATACTCCTAGGGGATCGGCCGTTTGCCTCGGCAACTTCATGAAATACTCTTATGGGATCGGACCATTCGCCTCGGCAGAATCGTGCGTAGTATTTGACAAGAAGCCAGCGTATCCGTGAGTTTTCCTGATTTGAGTTGTGACGACCTATCTGGTGGGGACCATTTTATATATATATACTCCAGTTGAGGAGGTATTCAATAATTGAGAGGTAGTGTTTACCGTTCAGAGTAGGATCGTACCACGTACCTATATTTGCTTACACTG